CTAAAAATTAATAAAAAAAAATTAATGCATGCAAACTACATAGACAAAAATAAAAGACCAAAACACAACAAAACGACTAAAACTTTAAAATGAAAACAGAAGACATAAAAATAAAAACTAATTCCAAATATTAATAAAAACCTAGGATCTCAATTAACCTAAATGGTCCACATTGACTAAAATAATTATATATATATAATTAAAATAATTAAATGTCACGATTCTAAACGTTTTAAGAGCTTAATGTTATTCAGGGATCAGACTTTTTTAACCAATTAATTTATTAAAATTTGCATGACTTCATGACTTTTTCAGTCGTTTGTGATTTACTAGAAAATAATTAATGAGAAGGATTATATATATTTTTTTTATTTTTTTTTTATTTTTTACCCAATCAATTATTTTAGATCTTGGCATACATGGAAACAAATAAATAAATAAAAAGTAGATTCATAGTAAAACTGAGCAAGGCATTTTTGAGATTTTAATAATTTCCTTTGTTTTGTTTTATGAATTTAAAACTAAAAAAATATACCGAAGACAAAATTAATTTTATTATTATCTTAATTTATTATTCTGTATTGATAAAAATTAAAACTCAACATTAAAACTAAACTCACTTAACACTTAATTTTAAATTAATTTATTTTAATAAAGTTACACAAAATCCATTTTAGATGCAAATACTTCAGGAAACTTTCTTCTAATGACACGTTTTGAAAGGTAATGATATAAAACAAAAATAAACTGAAATAATACAAAAAATAAATTAATAAAACAACTCTTTTCCAAAAATATAATTTTTATTACAATTAAATCTAAATAAAGTACTAAAAATGTATTACTAATTAATAAAAAAAACATTGTTGAGAGGGTGAATTAAAAGCAGAAACATCTTGATTTCTTGTGTCTTATTTGAAGTCATCTTGAAGCCTCCTGTTTGAGAACGACTGAATTATACAACAGACTAATATGATTATATAATGAATAAAGTGAACACACCTAATTAGCTGTGACTATATTCACTATATAACACAAGCTCATGTGCATTCCAGCTTCACTTCCAGATAAACACGTGAAGACGTCAGACGGAGCACATGAACTCGATCTCACAGAGCTCTTCTGCCGTCCACAAACAGAAATATGACCGAATAATCGAAAACTACACAAAACAGGATCAAATGCAGAGCCGCAGACGGAGAACAGATTTCAAACGTGCCGTGATGAAGGCTAATGCACACGTTTTCTCGCTCCGGTCTGGACGCTCCGTTGTCATTTCCTTCAGGCTAAACAGAAAGACATTGAGAAACGGCTTGAATCAATTCTTCAACACGCTACAGTCCGACCGAAGAAGCCCAGAAGAACAGAGAGCAACCAAAACCAACAATTACAAGAGCCTCGCATCCATCATTCAGAGACAGGTCAGAAAAACGACTCATTATCCAGAAGAACAATGAGGAACGAGAGAAACTATTCCATCCATCCGTCTGTCTGTCTCTATCAGCGACTCTCTTATTATGCAAGTCTCTTTTCTTGAAATGTATTCTTGAAATCGACTATAATAAAAGTTGTTATTCCAAACACAGGCATTATTTAGTTTGATCTTAGAAATAAACAGTTTTGCAGTTGCAGCGTCTCTCTCTCTCTAAAAAAAAATACATATATATTATGTTTTATATATTATGCATATATATGCATTTGCATGCAGGTTATTATCGTGTGCTGAAAACACAGAGAGTGTGTTTCTGTGTAAGAGAGAGAGTGTGCGTGTGTGTGAGATTGTGAGAGTGTGTGAGTGTGAGAGAGTGTGTGTGTGTGTGTGTGTGTGTGCGTGTGAGAGAGAGAGAGAGAGAGAGAGAGAGAGAGAGTGTGTGTGTGTGTGTGAGATTGTGAGTGTGTGTGAGATTGTGAGTGTGAGAGTGTGTGTGAGTGTGAGAGAGTGTGTGTGTATGAGAGAGAGAGAGTGTGCGTGTGTGAGTGTGTGTGTGTGTGTGAGATTGTGAGTGTGTGTGAGATTGTGTGAGTGTGTGAGATTGTGTGAGTGTGAGAGAGTGTGTGTGTATGAGAGAGAGAGAGAGTGTGTGTGTGTGTGTG